CATATTGGTTTAATTCTAATAAATTTAATCTCTTATGGACAAGACTGAAACCCCGACTCGAAACTCACCCTATCTCAGTTCGACTGAGCGTGCGACTGGTGATGCCGTGTTCCCGAAACAGGTCGTCTAGTTGGAGGATGGACTGGCCGACATTGGTCTGCGTCGAGCTCTCACTCGTGATCCTGCTCGGGCGACGGGGCTGCACCGCCAGCGGCACTGCGCCCAGCATGACGGCCTGCATCAGGGCCTTGGTCTCCATCTCCAGGCCCAGGAGTGTGTCGGCGCGACCCAGAATGGGTGACACGTCCGCCGGCATGTCCCCGCGGTCCATGAGGGTGGGTGGCGTGGGCAGAGGGGCGGTAAACCCGCTTTCACTGGAAAGCTCGGCCGCAGCCCGACTCTTCTGGAGACGGAGACAGTCAGTACTTCAGAACATTGCGCAAATTGCGTGAAACCTTCTTGTCGGACACGTTAGTTGAATACCTGAGAAACCGTGCTGTCCTTCCGACAGACTGCGGGCGGCTTCCTTACGGGCCTGAATGGGCTGCCGTCCCAGAGCGACCCGCGGGTCTGTGGGATGTCGCCGTCACTGCGAGCGCGTCGTAGGGCCGTGGGGGAGCGCGGTGACAAGGGCTCCTCCGAAGGTGGGATACTCTCCGCGTCGGAGGTCAGGGTCCAGGATGACGTCGTGCTCGTCCCCAGGCTCGGCCCAGGGCTGAAGGCGTACTCGGCCAGGATGAAGCGTTCTTCGGAGGTGGGAAGCGGCGTCTCCGACAACCTGGCGGACTTACGTGCGTTTACAAAAGAAGGACGATACGGTGCCGTCAGCCGCAGCGGCACTCACTCGAACGTCAGCGAGGAGTCCGTCGAGGTGGACGTGGACGCAAGCGCGCGCGCCCTCCGCGCGTCGATCTCCGCCCTGGAGAAAAGCAGCTTGCCGGGCTGGTCCGGATCGGAGTCCGAGGCCATCCCGCGGCCTCGGCGCCCACCTGAGCGTGAGCGCCGGGGTGAGGCGCCGTCCCCGGGCTTGCTCGAGAAGCCGGTCATGGCGACGCCATCCTCGCCCGGCGAGCGCGGCGGTCTGAAGAGCCAGGCTGGGGCCGGTGCGTCCGGGTCGCCGGCCTCGAGGGCCGCCCTGCCGGACGTCTGGGCCAGACGCAGGGTCGCTGCGGCAACGGACTGCTTCCTATCAGTAAGGGGAGGCGCCAGGAGCGCCAGAGGCCTGCCCGTCGAGGTCACTCACATGCAGTGCAGCCAGGAAGAGGGAGGCCGTGCCGACGGACAGGTGCAGCAGGACCAGGGTGTTGACGAGGGGCTTGAAGCAGCCCCGCTCCCACGTGCGACACGCCGCGGTGGCGTCCGACCTCGGCGGCGCGGAGGCCATCGCCGCCACTGGAGCGGCCGCGTCGGGCGCGCAGCAGCTCTCGGGGATGTCCCTGGGCAGCGAGGCAGGTTAGCGATGACGGTCGTTTCCAACGCCACCCTTCGTCTGCAGCAAGAACCACCTACCCGTCGGCGGGGCGCGCCATTCGCTTGTCCGGGTCGTGGGAGGCGGCGCGGACGGCGTCGCTATCCTGGTCCTTGAGGCCCAGCCGGCCGATGGGGTCGTTGGCCCAGGGGTGCCAGTCGGCGGGGCCGTCGAAGCCGCAGCACTCGAGGGCGGCCTGCGCCTCGTCGAGAGCCTCGCGCGCCGCGGCCTCCTCGTAGTAGCCCAGCGCGGCCCACAGGATGCGCGAGCGCGACAGGCGCGGCGACAGCGCCATGCCCACCACGCACCACACGACGACGGCGAGGTGCAGCAGCACCGAGGGCATCAGCAGGCAGACGAGGTGCGCGCTCACGGGGTGCAGCAGGCGCACCTGGCGGGGCGCGGCGCGCGCGCGGCACGCCAGTGCCAGGAGCGCTGAGCGCACGGCCACGGCCAGGCCCAGGGCGGCGTCGAGCGCGAGCAGGGCGAGCAGCGCGGTGGAGGCGGGCCGGGCGACCCGCACCCAGCCGACGCCCAGCGGCCAGGCCACCAGCACCGTGAGCAGCGCCGAGCTCGACAAGAGCGCCGTCAGCACGGACACGGCCAGCGACACGGTCAGCAAGCGGCGGCGCCCCGCCTCGCTCACCATACCATACCTTCCAGCAGACGCACACAGGGTTCAAACGCCAACAGATTTTGTTTTTCCTCCCCGCGATTTATTGAGTTTTCCTACTTACAGCGGCTGCCACGCTCGTTCTGCCCACGACGCGCACCCGGCAAACGCCTCAACGCGTTCGCCATTTTGGTCGCCTCACCTTGGTGGTGTTGGGCAGCAGCCGCGGTATGAGAATGTGCGTCGCGGTGGCGGAGGGGGCGACGGGCAGCCGGGGCGGGGCAGTCACGCGCAGCATCTCCTGCGAACCGACCGCCGAGGTGTGGCGTGTAAAGCCGGCCGCGGCAAGGATTCGGCAAAACGGGTGCGATAACTCGTCGTGTCACACGTACAGACACACATACCGGCGCGGTCTTCACTGCACCTGCAAGGCCGCGTCTTTACTGCGTTCTTCCGTTCCCCGGTTTGAGCATGGTTGACGGACTCGCGTCGCGATAGCGTACTATGGCGATGGTGACTTGCGACGATTTACTTTTTTCCTCGGATGTTATTGATGCCTCGCGGGATCGCGTTTAAATCTTCAGATTAACCTTGGCAGGGTAAGGTTCCGTCTTGCAGGGCTGCCAACTCGTGCGCCAACAATGAGACGCTAAAAACAATAGCCGTGCGATAAGCAGATCCAGCATCCAGCCGCAGTGGTGGTGCCCCTGGCGGCGGGAGTGCATAAAGGAACGATAGAGGGACACATAGTAGTTATCGCCATTGAGTCTTGATGCGCGCACCTGCGGTCCTGTGGTAACACTAAAAGTGTCGGTCGGCTTTGCGGAGATGCGCACCATGATAAGACTGGGCCTGCGCGAAAATGTATTTTTTTAAATCCAAGGAAGGAATGAGGAAACCGAGGAAGCTGTGGTGGAAGAGGTGGGGAAAGGAGGAACGGGGGG